CCAGTATAGCCTGGGTTTGATCGCAATGCTTGATAGCTCTTCTCAAATAAGAAGAGCCCTCTCTTCTCAGCTGTATGGAGGTGGATAGGGCATACTCCCCGAAAACCCCCAGATAGCAATCACCAGGAAAAATCCCTCATATGGAATCCACAAGGAAAAAGAAAGAGATGGAGTTTAAAGAATACAATGGAGACGCAAGCTAGAGCAAGACACGCAAAGTATGGGATACACCTGGAAGCATGCAACTGGAAAAGGAAAGCAGGGGACCGTGATGTTTGGGAAATACTTGTGGAAGGCCTATGCCCCAGGCGGGGTAAAAAGGCATATATATATATATTGCTTCTGGTGTGGATGCTTCCTTTTCACACCCCCCCCCCCTTACTCAACATGTTGAATATTAATAGTACTGAGTGAAAAAAAAAGCTGCCAGGCAGTGAGCGTCACGCGTGACGCTTGAACTCAGGTAAAAAGGTTAACTATTTTCGAGGGGGGCTTTTATATTAGCCTATGCCCCAGGCGGGGTAAAAAGGCATATATATATATATTGCTTCTTGTGTGGATGCTTCCTTTTCACACCCCCCCCCCCTTACTCAACATGTTGAATATTAATAGTACTGAGTGAAAAAAAAGCTGCCAGGCAGTGAGCGTCACGCGTGACGCTTGAACTCAGGTAAAAAGGTTAACTATTTTCGAGGGCGGCTTTTATATTAATCAAAGAGCTACGGGTATGTGAGACTGTTGGAAAATGTTGTGGCACTACTGTTTAACTCCCGGCGGGTAGGGTCTAGGACTGTCCGTAGGCTGTGTAGGCATGTTGTTTAAAGGATTCCCCGGTAGGGTGTAGGACTATTTGTATGACTACTCTTTAAAGACCGGCAGTTAGGGTGTAGGACTATTTGTGCGACTACTCTTTAAAGGCCGGCAGTTAGGGTGTAGGACTGTCTGTATAAGGACAATTGTTTATAGAAAATGATAATTTAACTACTTTTTGTGTAATACTTGGACGTACATGGTATATTCGCAAAATACCGGACCCCGTGCGTAAATAAAACTGCACCTGGTTAAGTCCTAGTGAGATATAATTTACCGCGCCAAAGGACATCGTTGTTCATCTCCTTTGTGAACAAACAAAAAAATTAGTTGCGTCGAACTATAAATTTCACAGTTACAGAGACGCGATGTTTGGTTGTTCAACGCAAACGCACACGTCAAATGGAAGAAGCAGGCCCACAGTATTAATAGAAGCACTGACGTCCACGCAGTTCCAGTATTCTCGTCTGCGTGGGAGGCCGTGTTTACGTTTTGCATCAGTGTGTGGCCCCCGTGGCGTATCATGTGGAGTATATGAATGTAATAAAATGTAGATGTTGATCGAAAGAATTACGTGCAAGATACAATTCAAATTCTATTTTCAGGCTTTTGTCATTACCTATGCATACGTTTTCTCTGTGTTTGTGTGTGAATTTCGTTTTGCACAGTATTAAAATAATGCCTGGCCATTATCTGAAGCAGCACCCCCAAATAATTTATGTAACGAACCGCCTCTGCAGAAAAGTGAGTTATGACTATTTGGCGTATAGAGAAAAATCACATTCTTCATGGTCAAGGGTCGTAACAATCTCTCGTTCCATTGACAATGTTGCCAGTCCATACAACCGAACTCAGAGTCGGTTTCATAACATATCTAAATGAAACATAATAGCCGGATGCCACAAGAACTGCTTGCCCAAAGATGATAAATGGAGGACAGCGCTTCAGCTGTGCTAAGGATGTAGTTGAACAAAGTGTGCGGCCTGGAAGCTTGAATTAAGAAACAGGGCAATAAGACAAGAGCGTTTCGGCTAAGAGCCTTCATCATTAAGCAGAACGGATAAAAAATAGGACAAGAAGTGGTTCTCACAAGAGCAGGGGTGACGTCCGAAGCGTTTTTTTCACGTGGCTTAAGTTTGTAACGCTCAAGCGAGTCATGATTTAGCGTCGTTCAATTTTAGAAGAAAAAAAGAAAAAAAAAAAAAAAAAAAAAACATGAAAAATAAGATCCTATATCATTGAAATCCTTTTATTTATTCTTTTTAATTAACTTCCAGCGTCTCTTTTTTTATAATTCTGTATTACAATAATTGTCTTGTACTTTCAGTGTTTTTGCCCAAGGTTCAAAGGTCTCCGGCCCAGGCGATACAGCCAAAGATAGATTACCTTTTTTAAAAAAAACTTTTTAATTTCATAACTGAATGTGATTTTCTAGAATCTGCCCCAGTTCCCTCATTCTCACGATCTACGAGTCTTCGGCTCATTGTAAGAGGAGCTTTTCAAAAAATGAGTCTTACCAAAGAGCGATTTGCGGTCAAATATGGAACAGTCAAGTCCTTCTGATCTTTCGACTTTGTCAGTTGAAAGTGATGGGGTGAGATTTGATGATGTGGTTGACACGGTTGCTTCTTTGAAGACCAGGAAAGTAAAGTGTTTAACTGTTAAGATTTATGTTTCAATTTTTAAAAAAAGTAATTTTGATGAATTTTTAAACGCTGTCACCTCACATCCTATTTTCATCATTTGTCTTGTTTTTGCTTTAGGACATAATTTACAAACAATAGTATGATTGATTTTTTTTTATGAAAGTGCAGGTCTCGGGGAGAGGGGATTCTGAAAAGGGGGTAACACCATGAGTTTACCACATCAGGTGACACCCACCCTAGTGACGCCTCTGGTCTCTTTGACTCTTCATGTCTGATTTTTAAAAAAACGCCATTTTTTCAGCAGTGTCCCGTACATTTTTTATAGAGGTAAGTACGGTAATTAAGCGTAAGGTTTCTCCAGTTTCTGAACACGTTTTCCAAACCGCCCCGTACATCTTTGTTGAAATAAGTACAGTTAATTATGTGCATTTTTCTCTATTTTCTGAATCCCCTTCCCCCCCCCCCCCACGACGTATTTCGAATTGAGATGTAAGCCTCATAAGGTTTCTCCAGTTTATGAACACGTTTTCCAAACCGCCCCGTACATCTTTGTTGAAATAAGTACAGTTAATTATGTTCATTTTTCTCTATTTTCTGAATCCCCTTCCCCCCCCCCCACGACGTATTTCGAATTGAGATGTAAGCCTCGGGAAATTCACATTTTTTTTTTAGAAAACTAATAACTAATGATGAACTCCAAGCAGGTTTAGGTTGCTGCTGTACTTTATTATCTTACACTTAGACGGGAACATCATAGAATTTCGTGATGATAAAGAATTTTTTTTTAAAAACAATTTTTCTTGGAAGTATGAAGGTTTACTTTTCGATCCGGAATTAGGCATTATTGAAATTATGAAAAATGCGTTGTTTTTTTGCCCCGTCGGCAATTAAAATATTAGATAGCAAAGACAAACAGACTTCCATGAAGTAAGACAACCATACATAACACTGAGAGGAATAGGTGTGGTATACTAGAGAAAGGGAGAGTGATAGCGAAGTGGGGAGACAGCGAAGGACCCATGGTCTTCCATTCTACCTTCGCCATCCGGATGTGACCAAGCAGAACCTTGCCAGTGGCTCGTAGTTTGTGGCGCTTAGTTCTGGGGGAATACTCGTGCTCTGCTCTGGAGGGGAAAAGGAAAAAAGAAGCTATTTTCGTCTCTATGTGTAGCGGTACAACCAAAGAGGGGTTTCCCCGTCTCCCCAGTCTCAGCATATCGTTATATCGATCGTTGTTGCCATCAGCTGATCGGGGTCACATATGCTCGCGCCCGCACTTCTCGGAATTCGCAACATCAGGTAATTCACCGTTAAATTAGAACCGCGACCTACATACTAATACCAGTTTCGTTTTTTAAATTGTGTTTATTTGCTTCTTTTTTGGTCTATTGTTTTCCTCTATTTTTATAGGCAAACATACTTTTAAATGAAATCGTTTACATTTTCAGTCTATACATCTTTAATGATAGTTTTAGTTTTTCCATAAACAAAAATTGGATCAATACTTTATTAAATCTCTAAAGACAATTTAAGCTTAAATTATTGTATTATCGATCGCGCCGAATTTTAAAAAAAAAAAAAGAAAAAAAGGTAGACCTTCATTGAAGAAGTACATTCACAAAATAGTCTCGAACAATCTAATGTTCCAATGATAATAATAAAATTGTAAAAAATAATTTCTGGCTTTTGCTTGAAATATAAGGCCTGTTTGTTTCGGCTTGTTTTTGGACTTTGTTTGGTTGTCTATTTAAAAAAAATATATTTATTTTTGGGGTGGGGGGTCTGTTGCTAGAAATGTTTTATAATATCATGAGAGTGGTATAAGTCAATGGAAATGTTATATACCGTTATGAGGATTTTAGTGTGAGTAAAAAATGTCATATAGCTTGTTATAAAATATGTGCACGTCCCCTAAGGACTTGCAAAAAAGTTTTAAAAAAAAAAGAAATTTGAATATAAATGTTTAGAATTTTAAAACCTAGCTCCATCTTTTAAAAAGTTTAATGTTCCTGTCAGTGGCGTAGCTAGGTTTAATGCCGTCCGGGGTGGGCAAAGATTTTTGCCGCAGCGACCACGAAAAAACCTTGTAGTTCGACGAAAATGCCGCCCCTCAGTATAAAGAGGAAAAGTGCCGCCCGGGATGGACCGCCCCTGGTGCCCCCATTACGCTACGCCACTGGTTACTGTGTGAAATAACTTTAAATAATAATTGAAAGCAAGTGCAAGCCATGCCATATCAAAAATAAATAAGTAAAATAAATCAGGAGTTATTGTTCTTCATGTGAAAAATCAAAAGATTTGTCATAATTCAATCTTGAGCGCAATGTCATTCCATGGACAATGTGCACAATATTCTGTTTGTAGTAATCTTTAAGAATCAATATATTAATGTTGTGAAAAATTAAGAAACAATAAAGAAAATGGCCTTAGGAATGCGTTATTTTGAATCAATGAGAGCGCTCCTTGGCCTCTGAAGGACGCATGGGCCCCGCCATTTTGACGCTATTATCGGCCATATTGATCAATTGCTTTAACCCCTCTAGGAAGAATTTCTCACTGGCATGATCATTATGTGTTTTTGTTGTGGTTTTTGTCAATTTTTCAATGCATGGACCAAAATGTGAGTGCCGGACACGGCCAAAAGGCCGCTATTCAAAGTGTTGATTTTCAAATACTCATTAGTTACTTTTAAATTGGGGTCAAAAACCGGCTAGTGACGCGTTTTCTCGGTCCTAGATTTATGCAGGGAAAGCGGTCACTCTTCTGTGAGCCGGGATACTCCGACTGAGTGGAATTCCCCCCAAAATAACGCGGTTTTGCCAATCTGACAGCGTTTTTTTGCTGCTGATATTGATGTCGCGTTATAGTAGCACTCTTGGCGCACTCTGCTAAGTGTTGGATTCTATTTCTTTTGATTCAATATCATTCTGCGTCTCAACCAAAATGGCTAACGTCTCGAACAAAGAGGAGCGCATTGACGAACTCTCAAGTGAATATGAATATGAAAAACAACGTCTCAGTTTCATAACAGATTTAAAAAGATTCAACACAAACCGAGGGTAGGTTATGTTTTTATTATTGCAAAACATCATAACGGTTTTTTTTATCTGTAATACGTTTATAAGAATATAAATATGTATTAGTCTTGGCCTGCAGCTACAACTATAGTACTACATTGAACATTCATAATCATGCCCATGATTGCCATGAATATGGCCAAAATAATATGGGGCTTGGACATGGTAGTTGGCAGCTGAATCAGATCCATTCATTGAGAAATTAATTCAAATAAGGTAAACCTTTGATACTGTTACTTTGGCAATTATGACATCATCATTCAGCTAAGTCTAAGACAATGACAACTAGCTTGCCAACTCCATTGAAAACTTTTTTTTTAATCTTACATTATGGTTATGACTAACTATACTATGCATTGCTGTACTGTTGCTTAAATGGGCCTAATGAAATGAGTATGACTAGTCACTAGGCCTACTTACCGGAAAGATTAATTGTGTTATTGTAACCTCCTAGGTCTAGCTTTAAAATTTATTATATTTATAAAGAGGGCACTGATGATGGCAACTACAGTACTTTCAGTATCAGTAAGGCATTCTTTACTTACTTATAACAAAAAAATAAAACTGCTTGATGCCTAAAATTTCTATGTCAATTTAGTCTATTGACTTTTTGTAGCCAACCCAAAAGTTTTCGCAGGTCACTTTGATTTTGATAGCGAGTAAACCATTCACGGGGTGCATGTCATTTAATTAAATCTTTTATAAGCACCGACTAAATTAATTAATTTGTGATTAAATCAGGCATCTGTTGGCCACGGCCACAGTATTTGACGTGGTGGGCCATGGCGGTCACCTTTTCTATAAATGATAGAAGTGATGATACAAATCCTAGGTCTAAACTATAATGATTCAGTCAGTAGTAATCACTGCAACCATATGCCTATTTCAGATGAATTAAATATGATTGGCGCAAAGGCTTGGGCTTGGGTTATCCCTAATAAAACAGGAACTGAAAGGCCTGCTTAGCCTGCCTTTGCTTATGCCTATTTTTTAGCCTTTAGACTTAGTATTAAATCAGTAAGTGTGAGTAAGTATATACTATCATTACAACATAGACTAGTAAATTTAAGTTAATAGTACAAGGCTGGATTAGCTAAAGCTAACTTGTCCATCATGTAACGTTAACTGCGACAACCAAAATTTTCAGTCTATATGTAAACACAATAAAATTCAACAAAATTTCTATTTAAATGTGCAGACATGTTCTCAATTCAAGATGTCCACCAGGTCATGTCTCATGAAGCAAAGATAATAAAATTGACTCCATAAAAATATGTATAAAATAATTTTTTAGCACCAAATCTTTTGCAATGGAATTCACGTTTTCTTAAAATTATTTTTCTACTAAACCTCTCATACTTATGGAAAAACTTGTTTTACTTTACAGTTGTGTCTGCGGCTTAAAATAAAATTCAGTTTTAAAGTCTAAGATGATTTTTTTCATTTGCTGACTTTTTATTGCATTTTTGTTACAGCCTTCATTTGTAATGTGTTCACAAAATACCATGCTGAAATTTGAAATAATAAAAAGATATATATATATATGTGTTTATATTTTAAGGTAAAGAACCTTTTTTAAATTATACATTTATTGAAGTTTAAACAAATAAAGCTTTTTTTTTATTTAATGAACACTTTTTAATTTGTTAACCAGGACACCATTTGATCGCATCCCAGAAATTGGGGGTCAGGAGGTAGATCTGTATCATCTGTATCAGCTGGTAACTTCCAAGGGAGGCTGGCATAAAGTAAGTTTTTATTTAAAGATAATTTGAACTTTTTAGCCTTCTCAATGATATACTAACATTTCCTTGCTGTTGTTTTAATTATATGAAGCCTAAAATCTATTTTAAAAATATATAATTACATTATACCTTACTCTTACATCACTGATATATACTTAAAATCACTGAGGGATCTTTTTTCAATTAAATTTATAAGATCTATAAACATATGAAAGATTGAGTTATTAATAATATAAGTTAAAGTAGTTTCTTGAAGTCTAAAACTGCAGTACTCTGAAGAGATAAAAAATTTATCCCATTTACAAAATCTTCATATAGAGAAAATAACTAATTTCATGCCTTGCCATGTAGTAAAACCTCACTTTTTATTGAAATCTCTGTCAGATGCAACGGTTAATGTTTGGGGTGAATGATAAACAGTCATTCAGTTAATAGCATAAGTTTGTATTCATGCAAATGGAATTATTACTATTTAACAAGGGTGGCCAAACCGCAGTCCATGTTATGACGTTTTGAAATTTGTGTTCAATATTCTGACTTGGGTTTGCAGAGTCAGCTCCTTTGACTTCCATATTTTCTTAATGGCACAAATGCTGATCTACCCTTTCCTATACTCGCCCTGACATCTTCTTCGGATCCACCATTTATGTCAATGATGCTCCTTAAGTATGTGAAGTCCTCCACTTTTTTCAGTGCATTTCCTCCCAGGGAGATATGCTCTTGGTTGAGTTTACTTTCAAGATCTTTGTCTTGCTTTTATGTATATTGAGTCAGCCCTGTGCTGAAATGGTGGCTAATCTTTTGTCTTTTCCTGCATTCGTTGCTAGTAGTGGGACAGAAGTGCAATGTCATCTGCGAAATCTGGGTCATTTAGTTGTTTTCAGGGTGTCCACTGTATCCTGTTCCTCTTTTTGTCTGGATTTTTTCATTATCCAGTCAATGGCAGGGGTGAATAGCAAGGGGTACAAGAGACATACTTGTCTGACTCATGTTTCCACTTTAAAAGCATCTTATGAGCCTACCTTCGTATACCACCATGCATGTCATTTATTTATTTATTATAAGAACTCTGGGTGATCCAGACTAGTTTTCCTGGGATTACATAATGCCAGAGAAATTTGCACAAGCTTTGTCAGTCCAGGCTTTCAAAGGCCTTTTGGTAGTCTATAAAATTGAGGTTATGGGGGGAGTTCCATTCGATTGACTGTTCTACAATGATTCGTAGATTGCAATTTGATCTGTGCATGTTCTGTTTCGGCATAAGTCAACCTGTTCATCTTGTGCCTGCGTGCCGACCTGGCCCTCCATTCTATTAGAATAATTCTGTTTAAGACCTTTCCTGGTACAGACAGCAGTGTAACTCCTCTGTAATTTACACAATTGCTGAGATCCCCTTTATTTGGTATCTTGATGAGGTATCCTTCTTTCCAATCTTTTGGAACTCTCTCTTCTTCTCATGTCTTTTCAAACAGAGGGTGCTACATGTTAACTATTGTATCTATGTCTGCTCTCATCATCTCTGTTGTGGCATTGAGTTCTGATGCTTACCCTATTTTGAGCTGCTTGATAGCAAGGACTGTTTATTCCTTATTTGGGGCCCTGTTTTCTATTTGTAAATCTTCATTAGCTGGTGGTATATTTGGTGTGTCTGTGGGTTAAGGTCTGTTTAGTATCTCCTTAAATTATTCCACCCATCTTTTTTGTTGTTTTTTTCATTCCGTTATTGGTCTACCTTCCTTGGCTTTAACCGGTCTATTAAATTCTTGTATGTTCCTGAGAGCTTTCTTGTTATGTCATAGAGCTCTTTCTTGTTCCCCTTTCTGGCTGCTTCTTCTGCCATTGATGCAAGACCATCTATGTATGCTCTTTTATACTTTTTGATGTTGTTCTGTACCCTTTGATTTACTTCTTTATATTTCTCTTTTTCTTTTCTCTACCATGGTGGGGCTGTTGTTAGCTGCACCATCCATTTCTTTCTTCTCATTTATTTTTTGCAACGTGTTGAGTGAGAGCCAGTCTTTGTGTTTTTGCTGCACCTGTCCTAATACCTCGTTAGGGTTGGAGGTTACAGACATCTTTATATTTTGTCACTGAAGTTTTGTCAGGTCATCATCTGTTTGGTCTTGCAGTACCAGGAACTTATTTCTCAAAGTAATACTGCCAGAAGTGCTCGTTATATTTTAGTCTTCTAGCAGCTGGATCTTCCTTGTTTTTCTTCAATTTTAGCTTGAGTCTTGCTTAAACTAGATGGTGATCAGATGCAACATCAGCTCCTTTTTTTACACATACATCTTGTAGAGACCTTCTGAATTTTTTGCCAATATGATGAATTAGGTTTTTGTGTTCAGTTATCAAGGAACACTCAAGTTACCTTCTTATGCTAGAATTTGCTGCCAGTCTTTCGTCGTTTTAATTTCTCTCTCTTATACCATGGTGCCCCATAATTTATTTTGTATCCTCTGTTTTCTTTTCCAATCTTATCATTTAGATCACCCATTATGATATTTAGATCTCTACCTGGACATATTTTTTTTTCAAGTATCACTTGTAGTCTATTGTAGAAAGCTTCTTTTTCGTCTCCCTTACTGTTGTTGGTGGGTGCATAACACTGTATTACATTCATATTTATTTTCTTCTTCGCGGTTCGAAAAGATAATGTAATAATTCTTCGACCATGGGCTTCATATCCTATCAATGCCTCTTGTGTCATTTGTGTCACCATGAAAGCATCTCCTTTTGTGTGTGGAGCATTTTCTCCAGAGGCCAACCTCAACTATCCATCTTCTTTTACAGATGCAGAGCAGTGCGAGTTTTTATGTTTTCATTTCTGCCGCCACTTGTGCTAATTTTCCTGTTTCTTACAAAGTTCTAACAATCTACTAGCCAATCCCTATTGCCTTTGAAAGAAGGGTCCTCGACTTTGAGACTCCCATTATAACCTGGCTTTGGGTTTGGATATAATGTGCATTAATATAAATACATATTTCTGTATTTCATTTATTTGGTGTTTATATTATTTGTTAGATGTAATGACATGAAGCCCGGAAAGAGTAGACCCGCAATGTCAAAAGCATTCCAAAAAAAGACAGCAGTTTATAGTCTTTGAAATAAAAGTGAAACTTTAGTTTAATTATTTGTATGTATATTAATTATGTTCATTTAGATAAATTCATTTATAGTATCATTCAGAGTAGTTTTTAAAAATTTTTAATATCATTGTTCTTGTATAAAAGGTTAACTACGAACAACAGTGGGAAGACTTCCAAGCAGAATTTGGACTTCCCAAGGGCTGTGTTAATGGTGCTCAGGCTTTGAAAAATATTTATTTCAGGTAAATATGGATTATGTAGTGGTCAATTATAGAATTGAAGAAAAAATATATTTTACCATAGTTGTATGGTAAAAATCTATTTCTACATACATGTATACATAAAGAAAATATAACAACAGGCCCGCATTGATGTAAATTTCAATTTGCAAACCCTTAAATGGTGTGATGGCACCACAGTTTTTTAAATTGGTTTTTTAAATAAAAGTATTGTAAAGCCCTAATATAAAATATCTATTTATAGGTTGATATTTTTTTTTTTAATTTGACATGGCTCTGCCAATTTCTCTAGGTTGGGGTGAATCCTAGAGAGTTGAGATTGAAATAGTCAGTCAATATTTTTTAAATAGATCTAAGTTTTCAAGATCTTTGATTTAACTTTTCTGAAAAGGGCTATTTCATGAAGGGTGTTCGTTTGAAAGTGGACATCTGCTGACAAGGTGGAGAAGGGATCTTGCAGATGTCCACTAGCTCTTTCTTTTTTTTTTTATAAATTACTCTAGGCCTTCTGCATGTAGTCCAGTTTTTTAAATTGCGGACACTCTCTGGCTGCTTTATTTGCAAAATTTTGAGGAGGAGGGGGATAACTCTTAGTCTTTATTTATATATTTGGTTGCAATAAATCAACACTTTTAAACTTTGAGTTTATGGCTTAAATTTCTCCCTCTACTTGTCAGGTGTGGTTGGCTTTATTTAATCAAATGATTTTTATTATCAGACTTGTTTAGAAATTTTAATCTATTGACTCTTTATAATGACTACACGGGTGGATGGGTCTCGTTAATCTTAGAAGGAAAACTCTGAAATCAAACCCAAAGATGAAGTCCCACAGTCGGTATGACATTGACATAATGAACATTCTGAAACTCCTGTGAAGTAGAATGCATAAAGAGCACAAGACACACTGCTGGTCGTCTACTGCATCCTTGTTTATATCCCATTGTCTTGACTAAGTCTTGCCATTGGATCAAATAGGCAAGAACGAGAGTGAGGCTGACTGTTATGTAGAGTACATGAACTCTAGCAGACACAAAGCAAGCTCGAGACCATATTTAAGGTGTGGCTAGCTAAAAATAATCTGTTGACCTGAATTAAATTAATTGTATTAGAATTTTGTAGAAGAATCTGGAGTAAACTGGAAAAGAAAACAATGCGTAAGGTGGTTCCAGATGCATGAGTAGAACAGACTATAAAAAGCGGACACAATAGTTTTTTGGGAGAGCATTTATGACGAGATAATTTTACTTTACGGGTCGAAAGAGGAGTGTTATTCTTAGAGCTGTGTTTACTTATATGTGAATTCCTATTAACCGTTGTACCTTTTTTTGGCACATTGTATTGGTACAAGCAAAACAGTACTCTGTAAATTAATGATTTTTAATTATATTTCTTTTTGACTTTAGTGCTTTAGTATTAACTTAACCCACAAACTGGCATGCATCATTCTGTAGTGTGGGAGCTTTTCAGAACCTTCTGAGTGACTTTTAAATTACATTAAATGACATAGAAATATTGATACAAGACCCCAATAAGTATGTAATTTTTAGAAAGGTAAATGGATTGGGATAAAGTTGGCTATATTGCCCAACAGTAAAGAAAAATTTGCTCAGTGTCCTTGACCTTTGAGTGCTCAAGAAAAAAAATTTGACAAAATGTCTTGCTTTCAAGTGCTCATAATGTCATTAATTTTTATAGATACATTTAAAACACTAATCTAAATGTTGTAGCCAATTTATTTATTTTTCAGAAAATGTATAGTTTGCTGAGGTTTTGATTACAATTAAACCTCTGAAAGCAATTTTTTAAATTTTGTGTCATTTATATAAAAAACGGACCACAGCTGAAACCAAGTACAACATCTCAGGCAAAACAGTTATTATTGACTAGTAAACATTTAAAATGGAACCGTAGAACCGATTTGGGTTGTTTAACTATAAAATTTATTAGTTCTGATCTATAATTTGTAGCTTCTATAACTAAAATTCAGTCATTCCTTGCCCAACCTCCGGGCCTGGCTCGAAATCTAACAGTAGGCCTACTTCAGTATTGCTAAGACTAACAGATTCATGAGAAGAAAAATCTCAATTGAGATCGTCATGGGGAATGTTAAAATCATCATCAGTATCAATTAAATATTTATATCAGTTCTTGCACTGAAGGCCAGGCCATAGCTTCAGCCAATTTATCTTTAAAAAAAAAAAACAGCGATATAAAATTCCAATTAAAAGGTACCTATTGTTAAGTTTTCTAGAAAAAGCTTGGCCTGGAAGTTTATTTAATTATTAATAAAAGTAAGTGGCTATGATTCCATTTAAATATTGTATTGAAAGTTGTTAAAGGACAGTTTTTTTTTTTTCGGCCACCACAGTATAGAACGAGAATGTCTGCCGATTTTTTTGGCCGACCACAGTTTGTTGGTTGATAAAGTTATTAACTGTAATTAGCCCTGTTTCGAGTATCTTATCGTATTTCTCTGTTATTGTTTTTATGATTGGTATCATTTTTTGTTATGCACTGTTTTAGAACGAGGCATTTAATTAAATAAGAGGTAATTTTTACATATAGATAGTGCGTAACACTGAAGAATTGAGCAACTCTCACTCAATTTAAACAAAATACAGCTCAAAAGTCAAGGCTACTACTCAAGATAAAAATTGCCTTGGTTATATTTGCGTGCACGAACGAGAAAATTATAGTGGCATTTCACATTTTGAATACTGTATGTGTACATCTGAAAACGGGAAAAAGGGGTGGGGTGAGAAGGCACATGTGGAGATTGTCATCTTACATAAACAAATGTTCTTCTTTATTTTTTGAATGTGAAATAGAATAATGAAGAATTTTTTTAATTTTCTATTAGGTATTTAAATCTCTATGAAAAAGTGAACTTTCTCGGTGAAGATCCAGACACACGCAACAATGAAGAAGAGGAAGGGCCTGCCAGGAAAAAAATATGTTTGCCTATAGAGACAATTCCTCTTCATTACAATTACAATCAACACAAGTTGACTGGTAAATTATATTGGACTTTTTTTTAATGTCAGTTGTTCTAAATAACCAAAAAGGAACTAGATTGTAAAATGAGATTCTTTTATTGATCCAAACAAAATTGTAATGTATAATCCATGTTGTTTTTGGGGGTGTAAATTGTCCAAAGTAACACTCTCAATTAAACTGGTCAGTTGCAACCCATCTGTTTTCCATCTTGAATGATTTATTTTTTAACTTTTTATTTTATTTTAGATGCTCAGAGACAGCAGTATAATTTATCAACAGACTTATATGAACAAAGTGATTATGAAAAGCTGGAAATGTCCCTGCGCTCTGGCCTCCCCAATGAAGTAGATGTGGCTGTGAATGTTTGTGTACTGTTATCTACAGAGGGAAAACATTGCATGAAGTTGGAAAAAACATCACATCTGATGCGTCTTCTGCTGGCTCATGTTGGGATTTTTGAAGAGGGTATTGCTGAAGAACTTTTTAAAAAATTATGACAAACAGCCAGTTACTATGTAACGTGATTCTCTTTAAAAAAAAATTTTTTTTCAACTTTAAAGAATCTATATATTATTTTATTTCAGATTCTGATGACTTGCAATATTTGTATCGACATTGTTGGGCATCATCTGAAAACAGAAATTTCCTAAGGGTGAGCAACATTTAATCTATGATTAAAATAATAAAATAAATATTTTCAAATCAAGCTGTACGAAAGCATCTTTAAAAGCTTTGTGAGCCTTGTTTGAAAGTGACATCACTAAATTTTAAATCTCTGCTCTATTCTTTACTTAAACAGTTCTGGTTTGAAACAGTTGAGAGAAAGGATATTAGAACTCTAATCACTTGGCTTGGAAAACCATATTCACAAAGTAAGTTGAAAACATAAAATGCATCAATGTGGTTTCACAATTTTTATTCTAAGATTTAATATTATGGCAATTCATTTTTTAAGAGAATTAATCACACCACTCTTTTTGTTGAAAATTTTAATGTCAATTATTCTCAGAAGAGCTCGTGGGAAAAGAAGTATTGAACCTTGGACGGGATCTAGGTACATTAGATGTTGAAGGTCAGAGAGTTATGCAGGTTGGTAAAATATTAGTATTCCATACCTTAATAATATCATTTAATAATAATGTTTTTAAAGTCAGATATAATATGCAACATAGTGCTAAGATCTGATGCATATTGAATTGTATATAAACACAATTTATAAACTAACTAAAAATAAATGTTTTTTATTAATTCCTTTCCATTCTAATTTTAAAAAAACAAAAGGTTGCTGTTTTCCTGCACAATCTATCATTTGAAGATAGAAACCAGAAGTTACTTGCTGGTAGTTACTTGGTATATAAGTAAGTAGATCATTATTTCCCTTGTTAATGTTAATATACCTTTTGTTATAGATTACTCAGTATCTGACTCATTTTGCTACACACACTCTTCTAAATTGTAGATAAAGCGTTTTAAGAACGTATGTATTGTAATTTGTGCTTATATTCTTCACATTCTTATGTCCACCAATATGCAGATTTCTTATCTTGAGCTTGCATAGTAACTTTGGGGGATTAAGACAGCTGGCCTTGGATACATTTGCCAACTTGTCTTGTGAGGTAAGAGTAGTTTCTTCAGCGGATTGCTATTTAGAATAGACTATATGAAAACTTATATATGACTTTATATGAGTTGGTTTAAGTATGTCTTGAATGTTCAAGCTGTGCCAAATGTTAATGAAAATAAAATCAAATTGCATTTTGAATTTTTATACTTAGTTATCCATTTGAAATAAATATACCTTTTCGTTTTTCTTAGGTTGAACTTGATGCTTTAGGAACTGGAACTTCTAATTTGGTACTTGATCTTCTTAATAATGCATTGTACTCAGAGGACAGATTTTTTTTAGTTAGAGGTAGGTTTCTTTCAATTTTTACTTGTTCATTTGAGTCATTACATTTTTGTGTGCAAATTTTAAAGGAATGAAAATGCATTTATGCAGTATGTAACACTATTATATAGTTAAAAATAATAGCTTTTTATTCACTATCCACATATATTAATTACCCACATAACTATGATTTAATCTCAGCTCAGGGAAAAATAGGTTCCATCACAACTTTTAAAGAAGCATTCTATACACTTTCAGAAATTATCTCAATAAATTATTGACATGTTTGTTCATTACAACTTTAATAGAATTTTGGTTTATTAGCCAACCATATAAAATTAATTTTTTGTACATGTCCATGGACAAAATTGTCACGTATCAATTTAAAATTAAAGAGTGCAAAAATTTGAAGGCATTGTGATGATTCTCTTCCCTAGGTTTAGAAATCCTGAGTAAAATCAGTCAGCTTACTTGTAATGAAGGAGCACTTTTAGAACATTTAAAGGAAGATGTGTATGCCAGGCTAGTAGCTCTTCTCACAGTCCAAGACATACAGTTAATTGTTCACACACTAGAAGCACTCTATAAGCTTTCAAAGATTGGAGAACCATTCACCACAAGGATAGCAAAGGTTCATAAAGCTATAGGTAAGTGATTGATTAATGTCATCAAATGTGTAATTAATGCAAGCAGTCAATTAAAATTATTTAAACATCCTTTTTTTTTGTCAGTGGCTTTTCTCAATAAATCACAATGAGAAACATAGTGACCGAATTTGTATTAACATTAAACAATTTTTGCTTTCAGATACACTTGTGAGTTTAATTACTATTGAAGCTCAGTCATTTGGGCCAGGATCTTTAGTGGGAATAAAGGTAGTTGAATATGTTCCCCCTGCTCATGTTACAAGTGAAGATGGTGATAGCATGAGAAAACCAACTACTGTCATTCAGCCTATAAACCCTGATTCTGTTAGTAAGTAAGCTGTATGGTTTCTGTTGAGTAAAAGTTAACAACAGTTCCCATAAAATATAGTTTTTAAAATGTTAACAGTCTTCACAATTTTCAGTTTCATAAACACATTTGGTTAAAATTAAAGATTCATCATTGAATTCGACTAAATCCCATCCAGACATTGTGTAAATACTAGTACCGTAAACAAAATAATTTTTATTTTTTCCCCTCCTGCCATCAAAGATGGCTATATTGATTGTTGAAACATTAGTCTTATTTTGGTATTACCACCACACTTACAGATATCTATCAAGTCCCCGCCAGCTTACACAGTCAGATGGGTGGTGCTCTTGACAGTGGGAGTGGAGGTGGTGGAGGCCCAGGAGGAGGTGAAATTTCAAAAGTTGTCACTCCAGTGAAAGAGCCAGTGACTGATATACAAGCCACTACATCAAGCTGGTAGGTGGAATCAAACAGAAATTGTTAATGTTTATATTTATATATGTTAACAGTTCCTTAGCATTCAAGTTTTTCATTCATTGTGTTTGTGCGACTTGAACATTTAGAACAGTGCTGCATGGGGCCCACATGAGATGATTTAAATCTCCAGTTACAGCTACAGACATTTTTATGATGAGTGTATTAAATAATTTTAAAAATGTAGGTTGAAAATATTTTCAAATTACATTAATTGATTTAGTATTGTACACGGGAGAGCACATGAGAAGTTGTAAAATGGAAAATGGGGAGGTCACAAAAGCTAATGAGTGGTATGGCTTGACAGGTTGCATTAATTTATCAGCAGAGAAACCATTAGATAACCTGGGTGATATCTTCTCCTCCTTTCTAAAGTTGGTACAGGGGAGGCGTTGCATGGTGTTGGATATAATACTGATGATGTTGGTTTGGGTAAGATGAATAGGGAAACAAAAAGGAACTTTATATGTAGCTATTTTATCATTGTTAAAATATCCATGCCCCCACCAACTGGACAAATTTAGATGAAATAGATAGGTGAGCACCCAGCCTTAACCACTGTGCTTTGTGGGTTGTTAAAATATGACAAGAAAGTCTTTGGGGTTGAATAATCAAGCTGGGGTACTAAAGATGTCACAACTGAATGACAACTGTGGGGAGTGTGAACCATTTATGGTACCTTGTTACTTAAATAGGTAGTCTAGACATGTATGTTAACTACCTCAAATAAATAAAATTGCTATTGATGAGCCAATAACGCTATAGGGTATGTGACTCTTTTATGCAAAAGGTAAGAAGTATTAATAATAATAATAATAATAATTAAGTTTATTTGAAAATCACTCTTCATCCCCAAAGCCTCGAAGCGCGTACAAAGTCAACCAAATTAAAAGAAATGAAAAAATCTATATTATACCACATTGAAATACAAAACGCGATATTACAAAGACTACATACGAGAATACCTATAAGTCTTTCATCCCTTGCAACCATAAACAACACAGACCAATATACATCTAGAAGATAATAGCTAGCTGGAAAAGATGGTAGACAACATCACCCCAGCAGGTGTTTGTGAAATAGATATGTTTTCAAATCGGTTTTGATAGACTCCAGTGTCTGGCTGTTTCTGAGAGTGACAGGAAGTGTGTTCCAAATTGTTGGGCCAGCAAATGGGAAAGTGGGCCTTCGGTAAGTCTCTTGGTATTGAGAGTTTGCCACTATCGGATGAGCAGAGTTTTCTGGTGGGTATATAAGTCGTCATGAGCGCTTTGAGATAGGACGTAGCCAGGTCATGCAAGCAGCGGTAGCACAGAGTTGCAATTTTTTTACTCTATGCGAGTGCGGACCGGCAGACAATGCAACTCTCTCAGAAGTTTGTTAGCATGGTCAAATTTGTGCTTGCAAAGAACAATGCGAGCCGCATTATTCTGTGCTTTTTTAATTTTATCTAGGAGCGTAGCTGAAAGACCCACTATGAGAGCATTGCAATAGCCCATGCGTGATAGCACGAATGCAGACATCAGCCTCTTTGTTGCATCAAACATTAAGAAAGGTCTGATATGACTAATTCTGCGCAGCTCTAGAAAAATCGCCTTGCAAAGCATGTTAATGTGATTTTCCATAGTTAGTTTTGTCTAAGTAGACATCCAGATTTTGCACTGTTTAAGCAAACTAAATCAGTATATTTGAGAGAGTAAGGGATGGTGTGTTATTGACAGATTTTAGCTTTTGAGCGGTAGCAGTGGGGATCAGCTCTTTTCTGGAAAGTATATATTTTTTTTTTTTAAACTGATCTTTCTTTTGAGATGTTATTTTCAGCCCTTGGGTTTGCGGAATTTAAAAAAAAATTTGGACCACCTTGTCAAAAAATTTTGACAGCACTATTTTGTAAGATTGAGACTGATAGGCTCTAGGAAGTTGGGTCTGTGCATTGAGAAATGATTTGTAATATATCTGTCACATTGAAAAACCTATCTTGCCAAATGGTTAAGATAACAGTACACATTTTACAGCTTCTTTTGAAATAATTTATGAATCATATGCATTTTATCTAATTGTTTTAAAAATTTGGTCGTGTAATGCTTAAAAATATAGAGTTAATAATTTTTTCCTTAACAGTACGTTGATAAAGTTTTGTTTCATTGTTGATGTGTTTTTGATTTAGAGGTTGATGTTTTTCTTATTGAGATATTTAATTATTCCTTTATATGCAACAAAATGAAAGTCCTCTAGTTTTATTAGATGCGATTCATTCTGTACATTAATGCTTACTTTGGACCTCAATCTTTTACATTTATAGGTTGAATGCTACATATGAGCTAAAGAAAAAAAGCAAAGTGAACCAGGTTGAACTGTTTTCTGACTACTTACAGTTTTGCAGAAAGTTTCAAATTCACAATGCTATGTCATCTGCTGAATTTTTACATCTGGTCAAGTATGTACTACTAAAAGTTTTTAAAAAGTTTTTAAAAATTAATACCTCAATATTTATAATTTCACCTCATCACCACTTATATTTAGAAAGTAATTTTAATTTGAGTGTTAAGCACTGCCTTCTGTAGTGTGAAATTAATCTCTTATTTTAATTTTATGGCTCGTTCAAAAAGTGCCTAACAAAGGACGATACCATAGAGAAATACAATAGCAAAAATACGACACTCGAAACAGTACTAATTACAATTAATAAGATTTATTTAAGTATTAATATAATTACAAAACAAAAGAAATATAATTACAAATCATCAACTTACAGATTATGGGATGTCTTGTACCGGTACACAGTTAGTACCCTGTGCCAATTAATAATGTACAATGATGAATGCGAATAAACACATATGAGTACACACAGAATAATACACTTATGTCGTGAAATGAAAAATATCTATCTGAATCTCTGTCCCTCAATGTTCTCTGAACCCCTTAAAAATGCAGCGTAAGATGCATTCCAGAAACGACTTAGACATTGTTTACCTTTCTTGTCCACCCCCGAACTTTCCACAACATTCTATTAAAACATATTATTTTTAGTTGGTAGTGGTAGTAAACAACAGCCAAAATCAAAGGAAATAGGCCACGCCCAATACGAACGCAGCCTAATTTTGGGGTCAGAGTTCATGGCACGGGGAAAGTGATGTAAACACGTCTTCTACATAACATTGAGACTGGTGGTAAGTCTACATAGCTAAATTTTATTCCTTTCCAGGGTGATATTTCACCAATGTGAAGTACTCAGCATTAATAGAAAAAATGGAGACAAAGATGTTTTCTTAGAAGGGCTGTGTAAAAGACCAACTCAGAAACCTTTTGCAGTGACAACAATGCCTCCTGAAAAAGGTAAGGAGTTGGTAAAGCTTAATAATGCTCTAATTAGCTCCCATCTTTATAATGGATATATTAGGACTTTAAAAAATCCAATACATTTTAAAAGCATCCTTAAACTTAACTTGTAAAAGTTAGTGTCTCAAATAAAACCACAATCTTTTAATTTTTAAATTCTCAGTTATAATTACATTTAGAGGCTAAGATTTGTCAAGGATTTTTTTTATGGAATCAGTGTTATGTTAAAGCATTCGAAATAAAAAAAGATTTTTTTAACAGCTAATTTCTAAACATTTGCTAGCATTTTTCTGTGTAATTGCTTTAAACTAATGGCACAGCTTAAATGAACTTATTTGGCAGTTGCATAATTTTGTCATTGAAAATTTTTTTTATAATTAATTTTATTATATCATTTTCACTTTTAAAAATATTTTAAAATATCTGAATCTTTCATTTGGTTTCTGTTTTCACCAATGCTATTGATTGATATAAGAATAAGTAACTTTCAAGTTGCTCAAATAGATAAGACGGCGTTGTGAACTAAAGGTCTAAACACATTTTGTGAACCCAAGCTTTTTAATTCCCTGATGTTAAAGGCTTTGCTTTTATCTTCTTTTTTGTTGTTGTTTTGGTGTGCTTTTTATTCTGATTAATTTAAAAGCTGAAGTTTAAGTATTGTAAAACTTTTAGGTGTTTAAAGGTATTCTAGTGCTTCTCAAACTTTTCAGAGGGACAAACCAGAAGAATTTAGTTAATTTATTTATTTTTCATTCTTTAGATTTTCACATCTCTGCGTTATTTAGCTCCTATTTAAGTACTGTCTCTTTCTGGTTATAATTTTTCAAAAAGGAATAATGTATTAGCTACCATACAGTAACTAATTTCATAATATTTGTAATATTAAGGGAAATTTACAAATTCAAATTGAAAAAGAAGTGTCTGTTCATAAGGAATAGTATAAACACATATCGTTAATTTTAGATTATTTTCTGTTCTTAAAATTAAATTTCTTGTAAATGTAAAATTACCTAAATTTATCTGAAATGCTAAAATGATACTATAAAAATGTTATTATTAGTTGTGTTTATAAACTTAAAGGAATAATGATTAATAACTAAAAACATTTTGACAGGTGACTATGCCAAATGAATTTTTAAATTCAATTTTTACTATATATATTTTCAAAAGGATTGCTCCTGAATTATTTGAACCTTTGTCTAACCTTTTATAATGAGGCATCATTGGGGAAAGTTAGTGATTGTAAATATTTATTGTAATAAATTGTTCAATTCACATTATTATTTTATATTGTGCTTTCCTTATCGTTTTGTTTTTGTTGTTAGCCATTAATAATCTAAGCATGTTAACCAGAAAATACTTTATTCTTTGGAAGAACTTCTCTTCTGCCCTTCGTGATATTCCATTGAAGGCGTATATTAATTTTGTATCCAATGTTTTAAAATGTGTTTCCAAATATGGCAGAAGGTTGTCATTTCAGTTCATATTTTAACATTGTAACTTTGTATCGGTGTCAAACTGCAGCATTTGTTTTTATTTCTTGCTTTCAGTGCGTAATCCCCTTAGTGTGAATGTAAGCCCCAAACAGACCCCTACTCAGGTGGTAGAATCTTTAGCTCACACGCCAACATTACGACAGCGCCTTATGGAGCCGCCACGTGTATCATTACATCCCCAACTTAATCATTCAGGTGCCACGTCTTCAGCATCATCACCACTCGCAACATCCACTCCAGCGCAAGCATTTTCAAGAAATAGCAGCCATCAAACCCACAGCTCACAAACAGGCTCAATTAAAGGGACATCCAATCAACAGGGAAAAATAATGAAAAATGTCAAGTCCCTTTCAGCACCTCCAGTTAAAAGAGGCCTGGCATATATGAACTCTGCAAGCACTTCAGCTGACAATAACGCATCACCCATAGCAGTTGGCAATCTACAGATTAATCAACCATCATCTCAATTTAATAAAGGCTCATCTACTCAAGGCTATTCACAGACAATAAATTTAGCTACTGTTCAGTCCTTTCCATCAATCAGTCATGCACTGCAAACTGAGCAGGGCACTAATGCTTCTGATGCTTTGTCAGTCAAAAGTTTGCTGGCTAAAAAACTTTCTCAGGGTGTGTCTGACCAAGATTTATCGTTAACTTCTGGAACCACTCATATTTCATGTCAGTCTCATAAAGCTCCACAGAGTATACCCAACATTTTCTCACAAGCTTCTCAAGCAGGAAGCTCTGTGAATACTGTGGCTTTTAGTTCTAGTCAAGCCACCATAAACAAAGCAACCCGTCCAGTTTCCTCCAGCGTCTCATCATCTGTATCACAGACTTCATCAACAGTACAGTCCTCATCATGTGTAACTCAGACATTCAATTCTCACCACTATATGAATTCTGCAATTGTTACAAATACTAACCTACAATCAAATCAGCAATTGACTGCACAGAATTGTTCAAATAATCTAATTTTGCAACAGAATACCAATCAAAGCTCTAATATATTGGTGCAGCAGAATAACTCTACTGCACTTCAAAACCCCAATGTGACTTTTGTTCAGAGGACCTCAACTATTCCCTGTGTGCAGAACAATACATTTTCTCTGGTGCAACAAAATTCTATACAAACTGACGTTCCTCAGAACTCAAATATATCTATTGTTTCCCAACAGCAACCTGTTTGTATGCAGTTTGTGCAACCAAATTCCACCAATGGAGCAAATGTTTCAGTAGTTCAACAAAATGCACCCTGTGCAATAATGCCCAAAACAATAGGAACAGGACAGATGCATAATAACTCATTGGGCTCAATCAATCCCCAATGTTTTGCATCATCATCCTTATCATCTCAGCCACAAAATATCCAAATAAATCACATGATCAGAAATCCCTCCAATATACTCGTAACCAACCATCAAACAGGCAGCTCCAACAATAGCTCAAATGCTTTGACCATAACATCTACTGCAAATATGCTGTGTCCTTCCGTCACACAGACGATATCTTCCCCAGCAGTAGCAGCGTTACTTACATCCACGCAACAACAAGGATCTCAGATGATTATATCATCACCAATGATAGCTGGTGGGTCAGTGGTGCAGGCTACACAGTCGTTACCTGTTCAGGCACCCACCACTGTGGTCATCCAGACCCCACCTGGCACCATAGTGATGCCATCAAGGCAGCTCTTAGTTCAGGGAAATGGCTCAACAGCTTTTGGATCTATACAGCAAGGAAACCATACTGGAACAGTATCTTTCATTGTACCTTCCCAATACAGACCAGGGTCAGCTGTAACAGTTCAGGGCCTTAATATTATACCACAGGGCAGTGTTAACATGGTACCTTCACTTGCCCTGGCCAGTACTAGTACACAGTCACAAACTTCAAGTTTTGCAGCTCAAACTCAAAATATAATTCAGATGACACAGACGTCACAGACAAATGTTAATTCTGCTGCAGCTAATCAGCTTGGATCCAGACAGATTGTGCTTGCACAAAACCAAGCTACAATCCCAGTTGGAGTACCACTTGGAAATTTTGTGAGGAACAGCTCTAACATTTGTTTGGCATCCCAGCAACAGCAGCAACACAGTTTTGTTATCCAGTCTTCATCTACCCAGCCTATACATCAATCATCTGCCACTAGTGTTGGTTTGACTATGAACTTAGCACAGTCTCAACCTAATGTGCAAGCCATAAATATTCCCACACAACTTACTGAATCTCATATCAGATCTGACTTAAATTACCAACAGCCCCAACAACAAAATATAAACTTAAACATTTCATCGTCGGTTGTGACTGACACTTTATTACAACAGCAGCAAAATGTGCTGTCCACTCAGTGCAATGGTTTAACTCATGAAGTAAATGGTTTTTTAGGTTCTCCTGAATCGGTTTGTAGTGACTTTCCTCCTTCACCATTATCCACAGGAATTAATTCTGATAAAGACATTCATAATGGGAAGGTTCTAGAGATTGATAAGGATGTGTTAAAAAAGAGTGACATTGGAAAAGTGGTTGAGAAAACCAGTAAGTTGAATGGGTATGTCCACCTTGTGGAAAATCCTAACTTTGATATTGGAAAGTCTGATCAAACGATTGAATCTGACTCTTTAGTTACAAAAACAAACAGTTTAAGTACAGATTCACAAGGGAATATTTTAATTAATGGTTGTTTACCTGGTGTCATACAGGGCTCAAGTATTATAGGGCATCAGACAAACTTTTCAGGTGTGAGCAGTAATAGTAATAATATGAATATAACAAATAACAATGGTGTACAGCAAACTCAATATGTTGTACAACAGCCTGGGGGCAACATCCTAACACATACTGTGTCACACGCACAGCATCAACCAAATAATTTACAGGTTCAATTAGCTCAGCAACATGTTCAACTTCAGTTTCCCCAGCAACAGCATCATTTGCAATTTCAACAACCTGTTCAAATTCATCAGTCTCAAGGCAATCAAGTTGTTTCAACCCAACATCAAGCATTGCCTCCACAGCAGCAGAGGCAAATTCAGCATGTGTCCATTTCTCAACAAACTGGCAATGTTCAGCAAAAGCCTAAAATTTCCACTTTGTCAAGCCAGGCTTCTATCAATATGTCTCAGTCAGGAAGCACACCTTTGAGACAAGTTTTTAATTGTGACATCTCCAAGGATAGTGACACCAGTAATGATAGTGTTATATCTTCATCTGATCCTGCTGACAAAATAATATCTGCTGTTCAGACTCCAACATCAAAGAAAACACAAAAAAGCAAGCCTGAAGTTATTATGGTTAAAGAAATCCTACCACCTCGACAGAAAAAGAAAGGTGTGGGTGAAGTAGTTACAATAACAAATTCCACTGCTGCACCAGGGCAAACTCAGAAGTCTGTGCAGATTCCGCTAGAGTATATGTGTGAATGGGCTAACTGTCGCAGGTGAGTTGATGACTATATTTTTATATTAATTTTTTTAGGTTGAAGAAATAACTATTAATAATTAAAAATGTTTCTATAAAATTATTTTGGGGTTAATCTGTTTTAAATCTTATGCGGGGACAAAATTCTATGAATTCAAGAGCATTTTTTTTTTTAAAGCTAACTCTCGCATTTCCATCTTGTAAATCGTAAAATTTGTTGACATATATGACACACATTTGGAGTATTTCAGGTCATCATGAGTTGATGACACTGAGTTTCAGCTCCAGTATGCTGGGTCAATGGGGGGGGNGTAAGGTGTCTTTTGCGATTGTATGCCAATACCTGTCAGAACTAGGATTTTAAGAGACCGGGTTAAAATTGTATACATTCTGGGTTTTTTTTTCCCGGAAAAAAAAAAAAAAAAAAAAAAATTAAATTTTTGGTTTTTAGTTTTAACTTGCATTTGCATTCTACACCCAGCAGCGCATGGGTGGACAGATACGATTGGTTGGGGACCATCTATAATTATATTACGTTTGCCTTGAGAGGGGAGTGGAGTTGATTTGGGAGATTTTGTGTAAAAACTTCAAGCTAAAATTCAATCAAATTAACACCACCCCCTTTTTGTAATTATATGGGGAGGGGTCTCCGTAGAAAGTATGTACTCTATTTAAAAAATTCTACAATAATCATCCTAAAAGTCAGAAAATAGCATATTTATATCTCGAATGCTGTAAAAATATCACAGAATGTTTTGTAAGAATTATCAGCAAAATTTTGCAAATATTTTCACAAATGAACTCGCTACATATACTCAGATAGTACTAAAGTATTAGAGCTATTACAGTAATATTTAGTCCACCGAAAGTTCAACGTGCATGTGACATATATTTTGTTGGGCTAAGCGAGTGCTTCTAATATTTTTTTCCTGGCGCCTATGCCATATTTATTTTTTTGGCACGCTCTCTGTTTATTTCTAACAAGTACACTTTGAAATATCAAATATATAAATAAAATATAGGCTTGGGTAAAAATAAATATAACATGTATGTAGGTCACTAAGTGCCATTTTGTAGCTGCAAACAATCGTTACTCAAGTGGGTTACTGTTTGCACCACGACCGCTAAATGCCACATTGGATTAAAAGTGGAAATAAAATTGTATAATATTTCGCAACGCCCATGTGAAAAAGTCGAAATTTACCAATATAGAAAGTGTGCACCCCCACCGGCGCAGATTAGTAAAATAACCATGTCTTTGTGAAGTAAATGGGATTTTATAGTTTAATTCACTATTAAGATCCTCTCTTAAGACGATTTTGGTGTACCATGGCAACGAGCTAATATCATGGGAACCATTGGGCCTGCTGAACAGCCAGCGGTGAAAACTCATGTCCCATTTTGTTTACTGTAACATCATAATTAGATAAGATTCTTGGATTGTAAAAAAAGATTGGGGTGGGGGGGTTGTCCATTAAAAAAGTATGTGTGCAACGGTGAAGAAGGGATTTTTGCGTATTTACTACTTGTATATAGATGACCCTCCTTGGATTTGTTTGCTGTGGTGCTGTATGACATAATTATTCCTTACATTGGAACCGCAGCGTAAAAACGAGAGAATGCATTCTCAACTATTCCGCGCAGCAATATTACATTTTGACATATATTTTAGAATCTGAGTTACAGTTTTTGATCTCATTTCGAATTTGAACCACATTAAATTTCACTAGCAACTTTATTTTTAATAGTGACAGACTGTGATAATGTGATCGCATGTTCTTCTAAAAATTAAATGATATCTATAGCAGATACACATCTGTGAAACAAAGTGACCACAGTATAAACATCAGTCATCTACTTTTTATCTATCTTTAGTTATTTTACGCCAGTTTAACTCGATCCCACTAGACACGGGATGCGAGTACTTATTGTATACATTATATACTTTAAAGATAATGTATTGTATGATTTTGTAGCGATATTGTACGAATGCCGAACTAAGAAAAGGTGATTTTTCTATAGCCAGAGATTTTGTAAGCAGTCATTTTAAAAAAAAATTATTTTGTGGATAATTTACAGATTAAAATTTTCATACTAAAAAGTATAAAATACAAAAAAAAATTGTTTAAATTCTTTCTATCCAAGACAATGCCGACTAAAAAGTAGAAAATGTTTTCTTATAAATTCTTAACATTCACTAATTTAGTTTTTTTTACATTTATTTGGAAGCACAGAGTGCCAGACTACCCTTCAGCACACACACTCTTTGCATAATGAATTTTAAGAAAATTAATATCTACTTTTTTGGTGCACTTAAACTTGTCTTTGAAAGAAAGTCTTTTTTTTTTTTAAATAAATTTTTAACTTTTTAATTAGTTATCAAAATAATCTTAAAATTTAATTTAATTTAATTTTTGGACCGCATTGAACCATTTTGTTCAGGAAACTTTCTCACATCTTACAGTTGAAAGAGTATTAGAACCTGTAAATTTTTATGGATCCTCTTACTTTCTTAAACCTTCACTATTCATGTCTCAGGAAAACCAACTAAAAATGGTTAAATATCATTAATGAATTTGATTGTTCATTAAATTATTTAAAATTAATTATCATTTCTGGCATTTCCTAGCAATCTGCTGTGGGTCCCTATGGTTCCGGGTAACCTCAGATTGAGAAACACGACTATTTCTTGTGATTTATCTTTAAAATAGTATAATAATTTCAGCGTCTTCACAAAATATGATCTTAAAATTTGAATAAATTAATTCGTTTCCATGTTAAACTTTTTTACTTTATAACTCCCATAGGTGTTTCTCTAGTTCTCGTTTGGTGTTTCTTCATGTATTCAAATATCACATACCCAAATTAGCTGAATCATCTTGTCAATGGACCTCTTGTGAAAAACTTGTACGGAAAAGGTGGTCTCTTGTCTCACATGTTCAGGTCAGTTTATATATATATATACTAAGGATTTCTATTGTTTCATTCAAATTTTAAATGTAGACTAAAATTTGTTTGATCCTTTAACATACACATAAGGAAAATAATGTGATACATGAATGGGTTGACATGTGCCTTACATCACATGAGGAGGAAAAGGTTGATTATAACTTGTGTCGCACTGAAGAGGGTACATTATAATATTATTGGTTGACATTGCCCTGGTTTTATTAGTAGTGGAAAATAAAAGGACTAATATGATGCAACAATGAAAGATTAGAATAGATGCAACATTTGAGTGAGAACATTTTATAAAGTTTTCACCCATCTCATTGAAAACAAATTAACGTGTATTCAGTTTTATGATGTTTAAAAGTTTCAAGTACCTCAAACTGGCATCTTTCTGAAGATAAAATACTCACTCTGAAACTGAAATGCTTTAAATATTATGTTGTAATAATAACCAGGTGACAGATGCTGAACATCATCCTGCTAGCAAAACTGTATGGTATGAGGAAATAACTGAAAATTAAATACAAAACATTTGATCTTATATAAACATTTGAATCCTTGCATGTAGACTTATCCAAATGAGTAAACCTTTTTGATGAAATTATTTTGGTTCTTTTAAGTTGCAAATTTCGTTCCCATTAAAAAATGGAATAGTTTCAGTAATTTCTTATAATTATAATTTATATTAATCAGCATGCAACATGGACAGTTTTTATTTTTCTTTCTAATATATGCACTTCATATTTCAGGACCATCATTGTTCTGAAATGGCAATGCGAACAGCATGTCAGCGTAGGTTTACAGCTCATCAGCAGCAGGCAAAGGGATCTACACCAGCTCCAACTCCTGCTCCCCACCAGCCAATGATTTATCCCCCTGATGCCGCCATGCAAGCAATTAGACGATTTTCTATTAAACAGCCTTATGCAGAATTTACTGTAAGTACCTGTTTACTGCTTCATAAAAGCGCCCTATTTGGAGTCTTTTATTAATTCAGAACAGTTATCCCTCATTTATGAATGGGGAAAATGCTGCTGATAACAGAGCAACAAAAATGAATTATTATTTGAAAATGGGTTATGTATTAACCTTCCCTATTTTCCTTTCAGAAGAAAGATTAATTTTTTTTAAAATAATTTGAAAGAAGGTTAAAATAGAAATTATTTTTTAAAAATTTAACATTTGAAGTTAAATATTTTATTAGAAAATGAATTTAAAGAACATTCCAAAGTTGGCTGGCTAAATTATAGAAAAGTGTCTAGACTGATAAGTAAAAATATTGATTTTTATAAAATGAAAACAGATGTAAGTGATTTTCTCTATGGAAGAAATAAGTCCCTTAAAAAAAATTATGTAGGAAGTTTATTTGAAGACTTCATTTTGTAGTTAACTGCTAATTAAAAAATTCAGTAATTGCCATTATAAAATGTGGCTCAACTTTTATATTTTATATTGCAATTCTTTAACTTTATTATGTAATTTTTATTTATTTAGCTTTTAAAATATATTTTTTTAATATTTAATATTAGATAATTTATGATACTAATTATAATTAATCACAGTTTTAGACATACTTTTGGAGTTATGGGGAGAAAGAGTAAACAAGTGTTATTACAATAACAGAGTCAGCGCCTCTCTAATTCCCAAAAATTTGAAACCATTCATGTGGATAGAAGTTGAAGTGTGCCATTTGTGGTGGTATAGCTTACAGTAAAGGCTGATGTCAGACAATAAATGACTGAATTTAGATATTTAAGAAAATTATTTTGAAATAATCCATTTAATTAGGAACAAAGAGAAGGCCCAGTATCAAAGCATATCCGTCTGACTGCAGCTCTTATTCTGAGGAATATTTGCCACTTTTCATCAACAGGAAGGAGGTAAACATTTCAAAATATTTAAGTTTACAATGTGTTTCTTCTTTCTTTCCTTGGAGAATCAATAAATAAAAAATAAAATTTTTATTCTATCCATTTGTATACCGTACAAGAATGATATATCTGTCAAAGAAGATATACTTATCTCTCTTTTTTTTATTGTAAAAAAAGTATTCTTTAAAAATATTGATGTAGCATATTGTAAAGGTATGCTGACACTGGGTTTGTTACAGAGATTTTAGCTGCATAAATGTCTCTATATAAATTGCAACCAGGAACTGCTAGCTGGACAAAAATATGGCCGACAAGTGTCATTTTCACAGCTTGTCACAGTCATATCATGTCGTCGGCTGGCAGTATTTTTACAACCTATCACTGTATCGCCTACTGTTATGCAGTGTAGAGTAGTCATTTATAGGAAGCAGACGACAATCAGTTTATTATGTTTATTAAAGAACACATACTTTATGACAATGGTTTTTCTGTTTTCAATTTGTTATGGAAACATTTATGTTTGACAGCTTTTAAACAAATATTAATTAGTTATATTAAGGCTTAAAAAAGGGCCATGTAATTCCTCAAACTAAGGGTGCCACCTCTCCACTAGTGCGACCTGTTTGCTAGTTTTAGAATTTACCCCCAAAAATTAAACACTTTTTTTCCTGCACTATTGCTTTTAACAATGTAAGGGGTTCTACTAATTAAGTTGGTTCTTTGATATACCCACTTTCCCTCCACCCATATTATGACAATGTTTAACAGTTACATTATGGTTACATGATTTGTTATTCATTCTTTTGAAATCCATTATATTAACTTTTCTTTTGTTCATGGGTGGCTGGCTGGCAGGCAAAATCTTTAGACGGCTAATTGACCCAGTTCCCGTGAAGCTATTGAGCTGAAACTTGACACATAGACTCCTTGCAGATGACAACACATTCTTTCAAAATTTCAGCCCCAACCCCCAAAAATCAGGTTTACCTGTTTTTCAAGGGGAACTTGAAGGAAAATTCTTGAAGGAAAATTCCCAATAACTACGCTTAATGAGATCCTTAAAACAAAAATATCACAAGTGCGTTTGGTGCTAAATATTTTCTTTTGTATTTCTGAAACAGTTGGTGAAACAAACCTGTGGTGTTAAAGCGGGTGGGTCCATAGAATTTTAATATTTCAGGGGCACGAAAAAATGTGTTGGGGGAGCTGTGTTACATGGCACTAATTGGATACTTATAAAGTGTGTTACCTCTATGCATGTTTTGTCAAATTTCCATGTGATTAAAATTATATCTTTTCTGTTTAGGGCAATAAGACGTCATGAACAGCAGCTGAGCTATAACACCATGAATGCTGTTGAAGCATCGACCGCCCTGTCTCACTGTTTATGGGAGATTATACAGTGTTGTGAACAAAAACCTGCATCATTTAAACTTTAATATTTTTATATCACCGAGTGTCGGCTTAATTTACAATAGGTATTTAGATTTATAAATAAAATTAAATTGTGCTACATCAACATTGATAAACACTATTTTTTTCCTGGAACTAGTGTTAAAGCTAGCTAGTTAGATTGGAATGCCTGACAAAGGAATGGGTACGGTAGTTAAATGAATTTTTAAATATTATTTAATACATGCTCTTGCATTTGTCATGTAATTTCTTTCTCCATTTTTTTAAAAATTAGAGGTGAAGTGGAAGTAAAAAATCATTTGCAATATTAAAGTTTAATACATTTCATTTCAAATTTAGAATTCTATCTGTGACAGTTTCAGATACATTATTAGTAAATGATACCTGGTTTAAAAAGCTGCCACAATGTGCTGCTTGCAACTAAAAGATGTTTTCAAATATTTGTTTTATTTTATGTGATATTTTTAAAGCTGCATAACTTCTGCTATTTTCGTAGTAGCTGGAAATATTTTATTGACTTAATATGACTGCAAAATTTAAAAAGAATAATATATATATATAAAGATTCTTTAGATGAAGAACTTGTGTGTCAGAATTATAATGTACTTTCTGCTAAAACCCCATAGTGATTTTATTTTTGAGATACCGGTACTGATAAATATTGGACAGAATGTCTATGTGCTATTTGGAACAAAGACTTAAAGTGGCAATAAAATATTGCTCACACTAGAGATCCACTCAGGATTTCTAATAAATAGCCAAAATATCAACCATTATTTTAATCTTTATGTTGCTACTAAGAGGTGCTGCTAAAGAAAAAAATTACTAGGATTTTATAAATGCTAAAAAAAAATTGTTATTACAATACCTTAAACTTAAAGGCATCAAGCTGATTTTTAAAAGAAGCACCTCAAGAAAAATTTGTGGAGAAAAGGGAATACATTTAATAATATTTAATTTTGTTTTAAGCTCTATTTCTATTGAGACGGTGTATTTATGAATGAACTACTTCCCTTTCACATAAATTGTTGGTCTCATCTGTCTTGTGCTATTTTAAAAATAAAAAAAAAAGAACAGCCTTTTCTTATATTGATCTATGTATTTTTTTTTATAAGGTAACTGTCCATTTAATTAATAATCATATTTTATAGATATTTTTTATTTGGTTGTTATTTTTACATAGATGAGGCAAAGTAAAGGTGGGATTTAGCAAAATAGTACTTTCTAAAGAAAAAGTTTTTGCTTTCTCAAGTCAGATTGATGCAGGGTTCTTTTTATCATTCTTAATAATTTTATTTAAACATTTGAATATGAATACTTTTGTAACTAAACTATATTTACCAAATAGTTTCTTCTTCAGTGGAATCACTAAGGCATCATATTATTTCTGCATTATTTTTCTAGTAAATAAAGCAATCTCTTTCTTTACACATTGAACAAAAATAGAGACAGAAGCATTCCAGATGTAAATTTCGACTACCATTCAGTGGGATAGTTTCTCTTCATTCACTGAAGGTATATTCTGTACATTCATTTGAAATTATAATGTGGTAAAAATAGATGGACTGAAATTAAGCCGAAGATGATTGAAAAGCAGAGAAATTTGAAAGTGCATTGAAATTTTGTTGCTTAATGGAAAGGATCTCCTGAGCCACAGAACTTGTTTAAAAAAAATGCTTTTACCTTTACTCTGTGAACTGGGGTCAGAAAATGTTTCCTAAATCTCAGGTGGGTAGGTTTATTATTAACTGCCATGTTTTCATTATATGTTTGTAATGTAAATAATTATAGGCTATCTTTAGATTTAATGTGAATTAAAGCACATTTCTTTAGATAAGGTTTTCTTACAATTTTTTATCTATTATTAAATTGGAATGTATGAGTATTAATTGATTACACAAGAGGAAGCTGTGGATAAAGTTCCAGCTGACAAATTGTTTACACACTTCATTTGTTTAAATACATTTGAACTATATTTATTGGGAGTTAAGCTTGTTCATTGGAAAAAAACCAAATGTATATGATAAAATGCTGTAGGTGCTTGAGAAAGATTGCTGCTTGTTTGAGAATTCTTTTATGGGGAGCTGGGCTTTTTCTGTAAATATCATACAACCAGTGATGTACAGAGGCCTCCAGTAGGTGAAATGGAATTTGTGATTTGGCACCTGTATAATTATAATGTTACGTAGTGTGTGGCTGCAAACATTCCTGTTGTATATCTATCCTTAATACAAGAAGTATTTAAAAAAGAAAACTTTACATCAAATTATATCATTGAAATTAGAACCACAGACACAACCTGGTTGAATAATGGAATGATTTAAAATAGTGGCAAGATAAATACAAATTTATACAGTAGCTGGAAACAATTTTTTTGAAAACCTCAGATTTAATAGCAGTGCCTTTACAAAATTGACAATTCTGGTGCTTTTGTACTTGTACTAACTGCAATGGATAGCTACAAAGGAATGTTGCTACATCATATTTCATATCATGTATTTCCTGTTTTACATGTAATCTATGTATAGTCTTCTTGTTGTTTTTAAGTAAAGAAGTGTTTGAATATTATTAATAAAGAAATTAAAAGGGAGTTAAAATAAAACTAAACCGTCGGCAATGGAATAAAACAATACAGTATATTAGTACTTTTAAAAAAATCTAGACATAGCTTTAACTTTAAACTTAAAAGTATTTTTGAGATTTAAGAATTTAAAATAACCATTTAATTACTTTTTTTTGTTTTGTATTGGTGTTGAAACAAATGAAATCTCATAGGGAAAATCTATTTTATGTGTTATTGTTGGGTGCTAATCCAAAAATAAAATAAAGAAATGTAAAAATCAAATTGACTTAAAAATTTTTTTATGAATGTGTTAAACCTGCATGAATTCTGCAATCTGTAAGCTAACAGTACATAAAATGTATTAATTGAATGTGTATGGTAATTTATTGCTGACTTCACATAATGAAATCACCATTAGAAATTGGGACCATGTAGAAATGAAACAATAAATCTATTTAGTTACGTGCATGTATGCAGGTAATGTAAATTTGTGTCTCTAGGCTACTACTTTTAATAAAGTACTATGGTATTAACTATCCCAAAAAAAGGGGGGGGGGGGGGGGGGAGAAGAAGCACAAATCTCAATATTTAAAACATGTTCTTTTCAGTGCGTTGTGTGTAGAATTAAAAGTCCCTTTATGTCCAGCTTTCCATTTACTGTGCTGGTACTTAATGTGCTGCTGCGTAGCTCATATTCCTTGTAACCTCATTTAACATACTTATTGTGGGTCATTTATTGATGGCTATATCTTTGTGTAGGCTATAATTATATTATCATGACTTTCTATGTAAAAAAAATATCTTCTGTGTAAATAATGTTGGCTAAGTATTTTTTCATGAATGTTTTTAGAGGCAGACGTTTGTATGGAATCAAAGTTTTAACATTTAAAAATGTAATATTTTTAATTCCATTGTACTCATTAAAATGTTTCCATGTAATAAAGTGTTTTCTTTGTTTCTATAAATAATGCACTTTTTTTTTTACAATGCAAGCTACATGCTCTTTTTATTTATACCACAGGCTAGCTTATCTTAATGAAATAGGTAACAGGCAAGCCACGTTGGTAGCTGAACGAATTTTGTGTTGTAATTGTATATAATGACCACATACAATTTATATGTATGCAGATTAAAATGTATTAAGAGCTATGCTTAGTTTTAGTTGTAGGTTTTCACTCCATAAAGGGTGACTGGGTTTCTGATTGGTATTTCCAACCACTCTTCCTTTGAAATGGGCTGCTTTTTGTTGCTTTAAATAAACTATAACAAGTTGTGTTTTCCCCAACTTTCAGAGAGTGCAGAAACCACTAAATTAACGATTTCTCAAACTATAAAAACCGTTTGTGTTTAGATTAAGACACACTACTGAATTTATCAGCAAGGCTTTATATATAGATATAATATATATTTGCCCTACTCTACTGATTGTCTATTATTCATATATGCTACAACTACAAGGGTCCTTCTTGAAAAGGGACCATTCATTATCTTACAGTTTATCTGTAGGTGTTTAAAATAGTAATTTTTATTGATAGAATCCAACTTGTAATTATTAAAATGCGGGTCTATATTATTATATCAATCTTAACAAAATTGTTTGGCTCAAGAAATTAAAAATAAATGCTCTTTATTTTTATAAGGGCTGATGAGGAAGTCTCATTTTGATAATTACCTGTACATGTTCATGTTGTATTTTTAAAATCTCATCATCACATCATAATACATTATATGCATTATATAAGTCATCAACAATAATTTCATACTTTTCAATTCCATTTTTTTTTTTTTTTTTTTTTTTTTTTTTTTTTTTTTTTTTTTCTTTTTTTTTCTTTTTTTTTTTTTTTTTATTATTTAAAATTTTTTTTTTATTTTTTTTGTTTTTTTTTTTTTTTTTTTTTTATTGTTTGTTTTATTTTTTTTTTTTTTTTTTTTTTTTTTTTTTTTTTTTTTTTTTTGCTACTATGATTCATGTTATTCCATTGTAATCCTTCATGTAATTGTTTCAATGAATTACAAATGTTTACTGACTTTTTTGGCTTATATTAAGTTTCTATATTAGTTGTTTGATTGTGTCCTTTCACTTCAACATTCCTTAACTTAAGTATGTAATTTACCACACAGTATTTGTGTGTGCATTGAAATTGCTGCCATGACTAAAACTTGAGTGATGACATAAACTTTAGTGATGACATTCACTTGAGTGATGACATTCACTTGAGTGATGACATTCACTTGAGTGATGACATTCACTTGAGTGATGACATTCACTTGAATGTTGACATCAACTAGAGTGTTGACATAAACTAGAGTGATGACTAAGAAAATGTCGTTTTAACTAAGTCAATCAGTGCAGTGAAACTCCATAGCCAAATAGCATTGACTATTGCACTTATCACTCATCCAAATAAGAGCAAACTATAAAATGAAAAAAAATGTGTATTCGCGTACGTATGGGGCTAACAATCCAATGGATGGTTTTATTAATTTTTAGTAAAATCAGGGCGGGGCATTGTTACTTCCATTTTGCCCCAAGCAGCACAAGATACGCCTCAGAATAAAGTAATAAATTTGATAAATAATTAACCTTCTTAGGTTCATACATATTGGGGGTGGGAAATAGGATGTGTACATTTTTATGTGGAAGACGACATCTTTAAATACAATGATATTACATTTACAGTTTTGAAAAAGAAAAAGTTACATTCACTTTTTACAAATAAATATATTTTTATCAAATAAAAATACATGGAGTTAAAACATGGGTACATTTACACAAGTTACCAAAGAATATCAAAGCCCAATCAATTTATACACTTGAACATTTTTATTTTCGAAAATGGGGATGGGTTAAGATTTTCTTTCAAAATAGAAAATATATTTTTGTTTATTACTTTGCGATAAGTAAAGTGGGT